TGTATGCACGCAATTGAAGCCTTTGTTTGAGATAACTCCGTATTGGCATCACCGCTGCCAGCAAGCTTGAGATCTTACACTGGATAAGCGCCCCATTTTTGTTCCCTAGTACAAACCTGTTGCACTATTTTCCGGGAACGTTAATCCTTTTGGGAGTCACACAGCAGCCGAAGGAATTCCTAGTCTATATGCGACAACGAAAATTGACTTTCGTACACTCATATCACCTAGTAACAAATCTCGCACTGAATCTGGGAAATGCTGCATAGGAATATTTGCCCTCACTGTGTACAGTTGACTTCGGAAATCTTATATGCGGAGTTTACGATGAAATGAAAGCTCATTGCGAATCAAGGTAGAGGTGGTCAGTGGAGCAAGGATGAAGAAGTAACCCTGAGGATTTGCCTACAACCAGAAATGGAAACCTTTATTTGCCCATTGATCTGCGTGTTTGCCGAATCTCATCGGTGTTACCTCCTTCAACGCTAACACTGTCTCAGCGAGAGCGGCTAGAGCCTCAGACAGGAGACGACGCAAGAAGTGGGGGAGGGCGTCTGTCGGTCTGGGTCCGCAGCCTTGGTGTGTCCATCTTTCTTAGTATGTATAATGAATCAGAGATATAAAAAACTGTAGCAAGAATCAAAAGCATTCAAAAAATAGTGTAAAAAAAGTAAGGGACAAACTGTTTGAATGCGAGATATGGTAAGTTTTGTAGTAATTAACGTCGTAAGCAGTGTTTCGTTTACTGAAAATTGAGAAATAAATGAGAAGGACTACGGTTTAGAAATTCAGGTTCCCAATATGTATAATCTTTTATTTCATAAAAATCATACGATCATGTTGTTCGTGTATGTTGTTACATCCATACGGAAATGTACTGACAACGTTTGAAAGCAAGGATCGGCAGTTGCGGTGCTGTGGCGCTTGAACGTGACAGCGAGAATGTTTATGGCAAGTATCTGCGAAAAAAAAAACGGGAGAAACCATTAGCAAAGCCAAAAGCAAATTTTTCTCCTCCTCAGCTGCAGCGGAGGAACTTGCGTGTGCATGGGAACGCGGGCCAATTTGCGAAAGTTTGTTCTACGCATCAGTAATTGCGCTACTATCAAATACCTACCCTACTAACAATCCGCGCTTGGGTGAATTACAAATTGAGTGAAGTGCTATGTATCTTGCAGAGGGCTATACTATGCCTGGTATACACATCTAGAGGTGGGCGGTCATAGACAATGCCGGGCGGCCATCGCTCAGCCTTGCTGCGTTCTTGCCGCGCCGTTTCGCGTCAGGAGCGGCGTCACCTCCTCTGGTGGCAGTCTAAGTCACATCAGTGATGGAACGGTTTCTTTCAGTCTCATCCCGCTCCTGCCTTCAAGCTCGAGGAAATTCCAAACAACGAGGTGCAGTAGTGCATCGTATGCATCACGTGGTACGCCAATAGTTGGGCGTGAAACTTGAAGGCGCGCCCGAACGCCTGTAAATCTGCCTGTAAATGGGGTATACATAACATAAAGTTTGAAGTTTTGATTTCGAGAAAAATTTGTTTGAAAGCATGCCTTGGATGCAGTTGGTTCAGGAAATTCATGTTTTTCAGATGATTGTTATAACGCACGATGACCATCTGGTTGGTAAACTGATGATCGGATCAAAGCCTGAGTTCATATACATCCTCGGGAAAGACAACAACGGCGTGTCCGGCGTGTCTCACATCAGACGACAGTATTCTGACGGGTATCAGTGTTTTCTTCAAAATTACAACAAAAAACTATTTCTGCCTTATTTTTGCATTGATTTCGCCCAATTTCCCTAGAGTTGAGTCCTGAGTGCAGTTTTATGCTGTGAATTATTGAAGCACTAAAGCCTTTTGCTCGGGCTTGCTCTACACGTTTCAGTGGGCTCAGAACACCTGAGGTGCTTTCATTGTGCTGGCAAGTTCTAGAAGCCTGCCCAGCAAAAAAAAGATTCCGGTTCAGTATGACAATTCTCAATTCGTCCTAAACCAATCATGCTGGCATCTACGTCAATGTCAAACGTTTTAATCGGTTCAATTAAACGAGCTAGTTTGATTAGAAGTCTACAGAGACAGCAAATTCGGCATTATAAACTTGACGTACTGTGAATTTTCAAACAGTGCAATATCCTAAGCGGTCGTCTTGCAACTGTTAGGGCATTAGAAAGCAGTGGTACGAAAACGAGTGTTGATCAATGAAACCTTGTTCTTCTGAGGGACGCTAGCCCCTACGAGATAGGCACTTGCGCAAACAGGCATGCCCACCGCTCTTCATGCTGCAATATCTCACCCTCCTCCACTTCATGGCTAGCAGTGTGTACATCTCTTTAACTGAGGATCGATCCTATGGTGTTGTGGAGGACATACTATCAATTTGGGTGACCAATGTTTCCTCATCAACTGCTCTGAAATAATGGGAATACATGAGAGGCATACACCAACTGAATGGAGTAGAAAAACGATAATTTTCACGCAGCATTTGATATGTTGAAGGAGTCTAGCTCTAGCGTTCACGAGTGAGCCAATACTAGTACTTGCCCAGTGTTGCAACTGCGTGTGGACGGATCAATCGACCAGGCATTCGATTCTCCAATTTTGTCCGTATATTCTTTCACGATGGCAAAAATTTAGGTTGGAACTTTCTAGAGACATTGTAGTCCGATACAAAAATAAGCGCTATCGCAATGTACGGTATGTAGATCTTTCTGGATTGGGAACAGAACCACGCGCAGGAACTCTGGGTAAGAGACAATGGCTCACGACTCTGGAGTCTCCCTTCTCTCACCTAGTGCTTAGCGCCCCTTTTTAACAAAAAGCATGTTCTGCCGCGTATTTAAAGCGCATTGCCACCACAGTGCCCGTATCATGGGGTTGCGCCCAGAAAGATCAAGCACTTATCTATGAATCCGAACGATGTTATGATGTCTACTAATTAGACTTATTTAGCCAAGAACTTCGGTCTGTTTCCTTCTAGCACCGTACCTTTTCTTTCCAAAATCCTCAACATATCTCGTTTATGGATCTTCTTGTGACGGAAACTGGAATGTTTAGCACACTGTTTCGGTGGAGTTGCGCTATGGAATGTAAAATTGCTAATTCGATTCATCCGTCTTATCATTGAACCTGCCTGTCAGATACTCAAAATTAATTAGGCGAAAATATGTGGAAGTTTCAGACGTTCCGAAGAGGCGAACTTAGCAGCAATTGAACAATGATCTCGTCAAAAAATTAACGGGTGAAAATGCTACGATACGGTGTCTCATTCATTGCTGCGGGTTTCATTCGGCTTTGTCTGTGCTTGTTTTTCTACCATTTATCATTGAACACTTTAATGCTGTGAAATTCCAGTTACGTACCGCTTCGCTTATTGTATCCGTTTTCAATAATGGAAAGACATGCTCAATTTTCACTTGCATTTTCCGGAATTTATGAATCCCTGTTACTTTCGAAGCGTTGTTAAATTGATACATTATATTGTCTTTGAAGGATGGTACTTCTAGATGTTCATTATGTTTTGTTGAAGTGGATTTATATATAGTTACAAAAGTACTAGTATTGTAATAAAAATATCTCATGAAACATTTCGCTATATTCCTAGAGACTGTTTCATATCTAGCGAGCATATTGCGATTATGAATCAAATATCACTACATTCCTCGCTAACACACGCCTAAACTGGAGTTCCAAATTATATCAATTCCCAGCCCAATGATGAGAGATCTGCGGGTGGGGATGAGTGGAGTCAAAACCCTCGCAGAGAAAGCAGCATTGATCCAGTTAGAGGAGTTTACAATTGACGAATCGGCAACCGTTGATAGATTGGTGAATAGCCCATGTCGAAGCCCTCGCGCAGGATCACTCACCCGCCGACAGAATCTACGCCTTGCTCCATGGCAGGCTGAATCGTACATGAGCAAGAAAACAACAACGGAAGGTCGTATTTGAGAATGAAGGGAGGACGTTTGAAATTTTTAGAAGGAGCTGTGATGGAAGCACACTGATGGGCGGAGCACAGACGACGGAGGCGGAGCTCAGAAAGATTGGCAGCCCCAGGGCGCTGCAACTAGCGCACCTTTGGTCACAAAAAGGCCACATCTCGATTTCCTTCGGCCCCTGGCTACTGCTTCCACTGCTGCTGTAATCCCATGCTGCGCACACTCTTTCTAATCCCTCACTTTAACAATGTTGACGGCATCGCGCGTTTTGGGTTTTTGGACCAGAGCGATTTTGCGAGCGCCGCCGCCGCACACCAAATCCATGGATTTTGAGCTGTAAATACGCAATACTTAGATGCGATGAAGTGTTTTCAATAATGTTCGATCTGTCTGTCTAACTTATCGGGAGTTACAGTAATGGAAGTTCGACCGAAATGACGTGTTAAGGCCATGAAAAGGCAAATTTTACTTACTTTCCCTTTAGTGGTTCCAAAATTAATTTGGACGTGGTTGTTTCAGTAAAAACACATATCTTCCCATACGAATAGGTTTGTATTCACTTCTGTTATTCCTTTTTATCAACATGTTTACGTTATTGAAAAGAAAACGAGGAATGAATTGAACAGACATATCCGTAAGGTCTGGAAAACCTCTGCCAAACTAAAGAATATTTGGCCTGTGGTTTTTAAGTATGCTAATGTATGGCCTATAGAATGAGTACAAAGACCTTAGGAATAAGTCGCGCAAGCGCAAGAAAAAGGGATGACTTGGGTGGGACGCGTTACCGCGTCACAATGTCCCACGAGGTGCGCAAAGTGGGACGCGTTACCGCGTCACGCTGTCGTCAACGTGTTAACTGCTAACTATATGAGCGTTACTTTGTACCCGACTTGAGCAGGCGCCGAAATTCGATGACCTGAACATTCGCTGCCTTTTGCAAATAACTATACATATTGTTATCACGATACAAATTTGAACCTATTTGGTTCCGTTTTTATGAGAAGACGAGACGGATCCAACAAAAGTGATGCTGACCACTTTTGCATTTCCATGTATGTGATCTTCTTAGGTAAATACGTGTATTGCTTAACACATTCCAATCGAGTTCCGGCCACTTGAATTTCACAAACAGTGTGACGAGTCCCGTGTGTGTCCGCTGTCGCCACTTATCTCACCTAATCGATGGAGCATGAGATCTTCAGCTCTTACTCATGATCTCCACATTAATACAGGTTCTCTATTGTACTGCCTTAATGAAGCTTCTGTTCGTATTACTCTCCCATCTTAAGAGTGCGGTGGGATTACTTGCTGCGGACATGTTCCTTTTAGCCTTTTGTCACCTCACTCTTAGTGGTGTTGAGGAGAGGTGCGCGAGACAGTGTGTTCGACGAGTCAGCTGATTAACTCGGCACGCGCGCTTTTTTCTGGTATCTTTTCCTAGTAAAAAATCTAAACAGTTATTGGCAAACACTGCAACAAATGTCTGGTTCTTGAGGCATATAAGGATCATTTTGTACTTGCGTTTGCGCAAGAAGTGATTGCATGAGGCTCTGTGAGCCTTGGTAGAGCGCTCTATCTATTAAGATTTCGCAAAAATTTGTCATTAGGACAAAACTTCATTTTTTCCGCATCATTTTGTGCGGAAAAACTTGCTATCTATCGATGTGCCTCTAGAATATCCTCGCTAGAATGTAGCCCTGCCAAAGAAAAAATTTGGAACTTGCGGCCTCAACAGTGTACTCGATTTTTTGTTGTCACCAACCGATTTCTACCTATTCGAGTCACTCCAGTAACATTTGCGAGTAGTCATGCTGTTCTCAAAAACTTGATTGAACTTTTCTGGATTACAAAAATTTTTGACACCACAAGAAAAACGAGTTCGGCGTTGTGTATGGTTGGTAGGCAAAATGTAGAGGAAAAATGACATAATATTAAGATTCTGAAGAGGCTCACTGTACTAACAATAAAGTATACTTATTTCGTTAGGGCGGAAGTGGTGTAGTGGCAAGTGGCACGCTTACCACGCGAGCGGTCCGGGGATCAAATCCTGGGTCGTGAGTCGCCCGGGCCAACCAAGCCTTCCATCCCTCCGGGGTCGGTTAATTGGTACCAGACTTGTCTGGGAGGATAAAAACACTGACTTGTACATCGGCTGGCCCCCGCAAGTCATTGTATAGGCCACATCGCATTCAAACGCCACTACGAATGTACAAATGGAAGTAGAATGCGTGCCGCATCCCAAAAGGGATTGATCAACGGCAAATGCTTTATCCTTTATCCTTTATGTCTGTTGATGAAATCTAATACTAGATGAAATTTACTTGGCTTACTGATAAAACTTGGCGACAGCTTCATAATTCCAACGGGGAAATCGTTATCAAAAAATTCGATTCTCAAAATGTTCATCGAAAAAACTGTGTGGATCTGGTCCGACAAAAACCAGAGCACGGGACTCATATTGTGTTTTGGCCTCCATATAATATGAGCAGAATTAAGCCCTCAGCTTTCGTCTTTTCTTGGTTTTTATGTAAGCCAGCAACGCCAGGCTAGCTGTTGTAAAATTGTTCACTTTTCTAAGCTTGGAACTGGTTGAGAACCACCGAGATGTGTGAAGTGATCTCCTGGTGGTGATTGTGGTAGTGGCGCCACTTTTCGCTCCCCCAACTCCGCGCTCGAGACCAGTCTTGCAAAATGTTTAAGAAATTTCAAGAAACATGAAAGGACTCAGGCTCTAGACTTCAGTCGTAGCTGGGCTGTCTTTATTTATCTATTCGAGTTTTCATAAAGCCCGATTCAGGATTCGTTCATAACTCCAATTTTGTGCACTTTTGATGATTTTGAACATAATATCTATCTAGGTCACCAAAGGTTATCTATATTTTGTACATCTCCTTCCCTTTGTCTTGTTTGGAACTACCCTTCTATTTTTTTCATCTCAACGTGACATCTGCACACAAAATTGCTGAAAAAGTTCCGATTTCGCGATACAGCGCGAAAGCAGTGTCGTTTGCCGTGTGTCAGGTGATGTTGATTTTGAGTTTAGATGGAATGGGAAACGATTACGGAAGTGGAGTTCGCTTTAAGAGGAAAATGTGAAAAAGCTTGAGGCAAGCTCGTTCCCTGCCTTTAGCAAGTGCAAGTTCTAGAGAAAAAGAATGCTAGCAGTCCTCTGTCGGCACAGTTTCGATTTCCCATCTTTTTCTGAATGTCTGGGTAGAGAGAGGGTAGTTATCCTTATGGTGATTAATTCAATATTGCTATCACGCTGTGCTTGCATGTTAACTTTCTCAGTTTTACATAGCTTTGTTGCCTGTGGAAGCACTGAATGCGCCTGCCCTGAACCGCCGCCCCGGCTTTTCCCTACAGCGGGTGTTCCATTGGTGGTTAGACTACAGGGACGAGTCTTGTTCAATTTTTAGCTGAGAGAGGTGGGGGTACGAGTGCACTTCCGAGCGTGTTTTGAGTGATCACCGTGGTGCTGCGTGAAGAACACTACATATATTTTTCGAGCCCACATGAAGTGTTAAAGCAACAGTCCAGGAACGAATTTGCGGGCCAAAAGCACCTATATGGAAGTTGTAGGTGAAAAGTGGTCGAACGTAAAGAGAAAAAGTGAAGAAAACGCCCAACTGGGGCTTAGACAGGGACATGCCCTGCCGTTTAGGGAGACGTGTGTTGGACGAGTTGTCCGAACCTGCCCGTAGTACATGCGCTTTAATTGCAACTGCTGGCAAATAGCTGCATGCTTGCAAATACATAACTACTTGCCAGCAATCGAAATTGAAGCGCTTCAATTGCGTTCTTATATGGAATCGACCTCATACAGCGCGGCGGTCCCGCAACGATCGCTAGTCAAGCGCGGACTCTGCACAGCGTATGTTGGGCGATCCGCCTCTTTATGGGTGATCCGCCCCCTCCAAGAGGACTTCGACCCCTTCCAGCGCATTTTAGAGGTAGGTTTTGAAATTAAAGACATTTCCTATAAACTTTAGTTGGGCTGGGGCATGTTTTGACCGCCTAATGACCAAGTAGTTGAAACCCTGCCTGGACCTGCTGGACTGTTGGTTTTATATGGAATGGTCCATGTAAAATCACGATTCTAACCCGCCCATAAATCACTGGCTTGAAATCCATCATTCACGATTAGAACGAAAAGGAAAAAAAACTGTGTTTGTTCTCGTAAACTGCTCGAAAAATGACTGCCCGCTTCAATTCCCGCCGCACATCTGTCACAAATTTTGGCCACGAAAACGATTCGGCTTTTTTTTTCAGTTTTGAAA